AGGATAATAAAAAGCCAAATTAGATGGTCATTTAGATTCTGTAAGAACAATTTGTTACTCTCCTGATGGTACTACATTAGCATCTGGTAGTGAAGATAACTCTATCCGTTTATGGGATGTTAAGACAGGATAATAAAAAGCCAAATTAGATGGTCATTCACATTATGTTATGTCAGTCAATTTCTCTCCTGATGGTGCTACATTAGTATCGGCTAGTCAAGATAACACTATCCGCTTATGGGATGTTAAAATAGGACAACAAATTATACTTTAGGATAATAGTTATAAAGATATTTTAGCATAATTTAAGCCTTCAACATTTGGTATTTATTTTTCATTATTCTTTAGTTACCTCTTATATTACCATTCTAAAAACTTCTTAGAATCTCAATTTAGAAGCTTAAGGAACTTTAATTTTGAAAGGAGAGCTTCTTGATTATTAGGGAAATGATTTACGATCATTATTTAGATCTAAAGGTAGTTTGATTTTAGAGAATGAACTCAAATAGAAACAAAATTGATCTTATTTAAAAAGCTTATTAAAAATACAATTTCAATTCAATTTTATTAATTATCTTGTTACTTGTTAATGTTTCCTTAACTAAATGGTTATAATATAATTTGTAACGATTTAACTTAAATTTAGAAGAGTTTCACTATACATACTAGATATAGATTTATGGTGTATCACTTTGTGGATTAAAATAACTAAATACAAAAATTACTTTGACCCTAAGAAGAAAATCTGTGATTTTTTTTCATGAATAAATTAGAAAATCTAAAAGTTGATTATGCTGACGAATTCATTTAATTGTCTTTTTCTTAAACTAAGGCCTTAGAACTCGAAAATGTAGAAAATAAATCCTTAAAATTACAATTGTATCTTAATATAAAATGGAAAAGGGAACATTAAAGAGAGTCAAAAATTTAACACTTTCGAATTGAGTAAGTTCAAAATTAAGCAAGTAATGTAATCTTATCAAGTATGCGGTCCAATAAAATTCATTTCACTAAATTTGCATCAATACTCTCATTAACCATTTTTTTATGGTATTTTTCACAATAATTTGGCAAAAAAAACAACTTTTTTTTTAAATGAAATCAATATTTAAATAACTACATATTGAATTTACAAATAAGTATTAGAACTTAATAATTTTAGTTTTAACTTTATTATAATTGAATTATCAATTAATGATAATAGCAATACAATGATATCTAAAAGAAGGTATTTGAGGATAAATTTAAATAGAATATATATATAATACCCAAAACCATTTGCCCTAGTAACAGGCAGAACGAATCAAGCAAAACAGTCGGGCTTCCACCCTAGCAACAGGCAGAACAAGTCAACAAAACAGTCGGGCTTTCATAGCTCCGCGGAGTGGACAACGTTATCACACACGTCAAAGCAGGTTTTATCCACAGAGTGGACAATGTTATCACAAACTTCAAGGGAGGTTTTATAAATTTTACCTAGTTAGCAACCAATCAAAAAAAGGTATTTGGGAATGAAGGCCTTTCGGAATTCGCCTTTTTGGATTTTTTGCCTTCTAGTAACTAATTGAGCTAACCCCATTGAACCAGACTTTATATGTATTTGTAAGAAATTTTTTTCCTAATCAAAAAATTTTTTATATCTACTTCGAGGAGTCAAGGTGACAAAAAATTGAGTGAGGTGAAAGACACTAATAAAATGGGACTATCCCAAATGTATAATTCTGTTTCTGTAATTGAGGTTAAAAAATGCATTATAAATTAATTATGGAATTTGGTAAGAAAGAGAAAAACAATTAGATGAGGAAACAAAATATTGTTTTAAGTATTGTAGTTATGGAAATTTAGAAATTAAATAACTCATTAAGACATATATTTGGATAGAAAAGTTATTAAATCATTTGTAAAAAAGATTTGTGTAAAAAAAGAGGAAGTTAACAAAAAAGTATAAAATTTTAATATATCACAGGGAGAAAAATAGTAGAAGGAATTGAAATAAAGGATGTAATATGATATAAAGAAAAGCATAAATAAATTAGAAGAATCTTAAAAAAAACTAGGGTTCAGCTATTTATTTAATACAAGACGTATTAAATTATATGTAAAGGAAATTGTTGATAAAAATGAATAGATTTGAGGATGCTTTAGAAAATTTAGTTGTAGTAATTTAACATTATTTTATTATTTTTATTTTAAAATTTTAGATAAATTTTTAGATTGGATGATGCTTTGCAAAATTTTAATTAAGCAATTTCTAAGAATCTAGAAAATTCTAACTTTTATTTTGGTAAATGTATAAAGAATGATGATTCTTAGCTAATTCATTAATAAAAACCAACAAACCTGCAGACACATTGGAAATTTAGATTTGGCAATTGATAAAATATTGAAAATTCTGTCTATTTTTAGAGCAAAGGTAAAATTAATGATAGTTTATTTCTTAGCGATAAATTATTTTTCACTATTTTTGACCAAATGAATAGACTTGAGGAAGCTTTATAAAATTTTGATGCATCAATTTTTAAAAATTCTGACTATTATAATGAGAAATGTAAAATTATTTATTTATGATTTCTTGGCTGCTTCATTATTTTAATGTGTTAAATTAGAAATATTAGCAATTAAGAAAAATCCAGACAACTCTCCATATCAAATTTGCAATTATTTATAAAATTTTTAGCCTATATTTTATTTGTTTTATTTATTACATAATAATGAAAAATTGAGCAAACTTTTAGAAAGAATTTAAAATTTTACCTAAAGATTTTATGAAAATCAAATATAATAATACCTTTATGATAACACATTTTTTTGGTTCTAAATAATCTTTTCAAGTAAATTAAATAAGCTTAAAATTAGAAATAATGATACTAGCTGTATCCTTATTTGTGCAATCATTATTTATTACATAATTCAATAATCAATACTACTCTTATTCTGGCTTGTTAAATTCTTTGAGAATAATTAAAAATCTTAATCTTTGACTTTGATGAAATGACACCTCCAATTAACAATTTATTGTAATTTAACAGCTTCCAAATAAACCCTATAAATATCAAAGTTCGCATACAAATAAAGTTGTAAGGTGTAAGAGGAATTTCAACAATTCGAGGATTTGCTTATCGTAATATCTGTTTTTAATCAAATTCAACTCAATAATTCTTCTTACTAAATATTTCACTAAATTTTAAATCAAATTAGTGATAAACTTCAAAGAATTTATCTTAACTTTTTTAGAAAAGAACTCTAAACATCAATAATTTTAGTTATCATAATAATATTAGAATTAAAGTTACTAATTAATAAACTCTTCCTTTATATGATACTGTCCCTATTTATTTTATTGATTGTGAATCTCCTTTATATCTTTAATCAACTTTCCTTTGTTTTATTGTTTTATCTTTCCCAATAATTCTTTGTCACCTCCAACCTCTTCAAATGAGAATTTTTCTTCCAATTCTCCAAAGTCATTCTAAAATAATTTAAGCTAATTCCTCTAGGTCAGAAACACTAGGAATATAACATTAGATACAGCATGCAGCTGCAAAAAATGATGTGCAAATTCTTTTGTACCTGAAATTCTACTGCTGTTATATGATATTCTAACTAAACTACAAATGACTACACCAAAATATCAGTAGTTCAATTTGTTAATTTAGCTTTATATTACTTATTTGTTAATCCAACATGAAATATTTGAAATAGAGACAGGTCACTATAAGATTTTTTTCATGAGTGTTTTATCAAATCAATTTATTTAAGCAGATATAGCAAAGTGAAATGCTTTATTGNTTTATTTTGGTAAATGTATAAAGAATGATGATTCTTAGCTAATTCATTAATAAAAACCAACAAACCTGCAGACACATTGGAAATTTAGATTTGGCAATTGATAAAATATTGAAAATTCTGTCTATTTTTAGAGCAAAGGTAAAATTAATGATAGTTTATTTCTTAGCGATAAATTATTTTTCACTATTTTTGACCAAATGAATAGACTTGAGGAAGCTTTATAAAATTTTGATGCATCAATTTTTAAAAATTCTGACTATTATAATGAGAAATGTAAAATTATTTATTTATGATTTCTTGGCTGCTTCATTATTTTAATGTGTTAAATTAGAAATATTAGCAATTAAGAAAAATCCAGACAACTCTCCATATCAAATTTGCAATTATTTATAAAATTTTTAGCCTATATTTTATTTGTTTTATTTATTACATAATAATGAAAAATTGAGCAAACTTTTAGAAAGAATTTAAAATTTTACCTAAAGATTTTATGAAAATCAAATATAATAATACCTTTATGATAACACATTTTTTTGGTTCTAAATAATCTTTTCAAGTAAATTAAATAAGCTTAAAATTAGAAATAATGATACTAGCTGTATCCTTATTTGTGCAATCATTATTTATTACATAATTCAATAATCAATACTACTCTTATTCTGGCTTGTTAAATTCTTTGAGAATAATTAAAAATCTTAATCTTTGACTTTGATGAAATGACACCTCCAATTAACAATTTATTGTAATTTAACAGCTTCCAAATAAACCCTATAAATATCAAAGTTCGCATACAAATAAAGTTGTAAGGTGTAAGAGGAATTTCAACAATTCGAGGATTTGCTTATCGTAATATCTGTTTTTAATCAAATTCAACTCAATAATTCTTCTTACTAAATATTTCACTAAATTTTAAATCAAATTAGTGATAAACTTCAAAGAATTTATCTTAACTTTTTTAGAAAAGAACTCTAAACATCAATAATTTTAGTTATCATAATAATATTAGAATTAAAGTTACTAATTAATAAACTCTTCCTTTATATGATACTGTCCCTATTTATTTTATTGATTGTGAATCTCCTTTATATCTTTAATCAACTTTCCTTTGTTTTATTGTTTTATCTTTCCCAATAATTCTTTGTCACCTCCAACCTCTTCAAATGAGAATTTTTCTTCCAATTCTCCAAAGTCATTCTAAAATAATTTAAGCTAATTCCTCTAGGTCAGAAACACTAGGAATATAACATTAGATACAGCATGCAGCTGCAAAAAATGATGTGCAAATTCTTTTGTACCTGAAATTCTACTGCTGTTATATGATATTCTAACTAAACTACAAATGACTACACCAAAATATCAGTAGTTCAATTTGTTAATTTAGCTTTATATTACTTATTTGTTAATCCAACATGAAATATTTGAAATAGAGACAGGTCACTATAAGATTTTTTTCATGAGTGTTTTATCAAATCAATTTATTTAAGCAGATATAGCAAAGTGAAATGCTTTATTGTATATGTATAAATATTTGACCATATGTATAGAAATAAAATAAAAGGTGATATACTTAATTTCAAACTATCAGTTTTTCCTTTAAATAGCGCTTAAAAAATGGTTAAAGGACTAAATTTAACAATAATTTCGATACATTCTCTTCAGCTTACTTCTTATTTTTGTGTTGAAAGTTTTTGCGCATAAGCACTTGAAACCAATATTGCCTTCTAGTTTTTCAGCAAATATAATCCAAAAGTAAGGGGAGGTGGTAAATGAAAATCCCCCATAATTGAGGTTAATGTGAAAGTCTTTTTATTACCTGTTCTCTGAATTGCTCGGATAAATAGTAGCCAATGATAAATACCGATGGCATCATGTAAAGTAGGCCTTTAGATATTTGGCCTTCTTGATTTCAATCCTATGGAAATGATTTATCAATCACTTCCTAGTTTGGAATAAAACTCAAAATTCTCTGCAAAATTTCACTTGAATACCTCCTACTATTTTCTCTTGACGACTTCTACTCTCACAGTGAAATTTGGTCAATGTTGTTGAACGTGTATGGAGTTATTGGTATTACAAAAAAATAAGTGTGTCTTGCATAGCTTTAAATAATTGAATCAGTTTGACACGTAAATCAATGCTCATAATATTACAAGTATATTTAGAATGTCTTAGATCATTGTAGCTGTAATGTTAAAGAAATTATAGATATCCTTTTGTTTTATTATATTTGTATTTTTGCAAAAATACAAGAGGCAGTTATAATTACTTTTGCATGGCATTTAGGAATGCTTCTTTTATATTCGCCGATGTTGAATTGTTGGTCTGGTAATATATCTTTTATTTCCATATAATTTTATTAACTTTAATTATATGAACTGAAATGTCTAAAATTCTTTCTGCTTTTGAACCTTATTTAATTTAATTTTTGGTAAGTGTACAACAACTCCAATATATCGGTTGAAAAGTTAAATATGCAAGTTCTGAAATATGCCCTCCTAGATAATACATGATGAAAATGCGAAATACTAGAGTTTCCATTTATGTAATACAAGATCATCATTAAACTAGAATTTGATAATAACAATACTTCTTGAATTGTTTATTAATTCCAGCTTGTATTTGGTCTTTGCTTTTTGCCTTCAACTAAATTTTGCTTTGTTTATTTTAAAAAATCAGCTCATCCTCTTTTAAAAATTATTCTTTCTATTATTCTGACCTTGCTTAACGCTTTTATGTAGTGAAGACCTGGTTTCATAGTTGACTCACCTGTAGAACACCCAACACAGAATGAATTGCAAGTTGAAGAATAAGTTGCTCTAACATAACAATCCATATAGCCATTTTTACAGGATAGCATTTCCACTAGTCATAATGCATTACAGGAAGCAACAAGGCACAAAATTTAATCTTACATAATTGAAACGTTTTGATAGGTAGGCGATTATAGTTTTCTATGTATTGAAATTAATTTTTGCTGTGTAGTTTTGAGTTCTACTATGTAAGTAGAAGTCGCAAAAATAGAGCATTGATAAATCGCAAGAGCCTCAATGCAGAAGTAATCCAGGTATCTTTTATTCTAGTGATGTCTCTGGCAATCTAGTATAACCTCCTTACAATAGTGCTGATTTAGGAAAATTTAATCATGCTCATGTGTCTCCAGCCTACTTTTACAAAAAAGAGATTAAATGCTTATATTGTAGGATTAAAGTATATCTAGATAGATATTTTGTAATTGAGAGATTGACTTAGATTAAATTGTTTTTAGTGCACTTAAAACTGTACTGATATTGGCAACATAGCAACAAGGTGGGGATTTGTGAATTATTTTCTGCACCATTTAAAAATGTTTCACTTTTATCTATTGGATTCATTAAGGAGGAAAAGTGGTACCCTATATAATAAATTACTCTTAAAAGTTTCATCACTCTCTTTGATTGTTGAATGTTGCTGTTATCAAGGAGCAGTTTAAAAACTTGCTATCATGTCAATTCTCAAAATTTTTTATTTTGTTAATTTATTGCTAAAATTTCATTTTGTTTTTCGAACAAAGCGCTTTTTTTTCATAGACCACAACAATGTATTAAGTTCAATTCATAATAAAAACTGACCTATTATTGACCTTTAAAACACAATCAAACAGTCTAATGTAAAAGTTGCCAATTTGTATTATATGCCAATATAGTCAAACAAAGAAATTTAGATAATGAAACATAATAAAGATAATTACTTCTTTATGATAATAAAAAAGGAAAGCTTAATCAATTACAACTTCAATTATTAAATTGTATTCCTCATAATTCTTTAGTAATCTTAGTAAATACACATTTTATTCAAAAAAACAAAGTTTCAACAATTTTTATTGTTTTTTGAATTATGATATTGATTAATCATGGCTTGATGAGAGAAGCACATGCCTTTTTTCATTCATTCTAATCTTTAGAAAAAATCTGAATGGCAATTTATTTTTAGGAACAATAGCATCAACCTCCTTGGTTTATTCAAAAAAAATTAAATCTTCATAAAAATCCAAAAATAGAGTTCTTAGGAACTTATTTTTATTACATTTAAGAGGCTATTATAATTTTGATTTTATTATATGTTCACATTTGAACTAATCTTATGACTATATGAAAAATTCATGAATAAATAATATGAATTGAAAATTTTTAATACATAATATTCGGATAGATTTGTGTATTTGGAAATATAATACATTTCGTAAAATATAAATTTTGATATAGATCAAACATTCAAATAATTATAAATAATTACCTATTAAATAGAATGAAATAATGTTAAATGATTGAGTCACAACATGAGCTGGTTTGCTCAAATAATCATTAAGATTAATCTATTATTTTGGTTGATTTGGATGAAGGAATTAAAAAAAACGAAAGATTGAAGTGTCCTTCTTGTTTAATATCAATAAGGGGAAAAATCAATGGTATTTCATATTAAGAAGCTATTACAAAGATATAGGAACTAAAGGACTAGTTATTCCATGAGAAGACAATATATATAAATTGTAAACTTGATTAAATAAAATTTTTTCAAGACCATCTAGAAAATACTAAATCATTAGTTATACAAAAATTTGAACAAATCTTAAATCATTTGGAGTTATAGAAAAAAACATTGCTTGAATTAAATTAAAAATCTTCCTATTACAGTCTTTTAGAAGAAATTGATAAAATTAACATTTCTAATTCATATTTGTTTTAGATTGAGAAAAAAGAATTTATAGTATAAGTTAGAGAATTAATACATACTTTTTAAAAAAAAACTCATCAAAATGTAGAATTTTTAAAGAATTTATTAAATGATGAAAAGGCTTAAATCATGATTGATAACATTATTAGCTAAAATGAAGAGGACAATCTTGATACCTAAGAAGGAAGTAATCAATCTTTAATTAGTGAGAATAAATTATTATATACGTCTAGCAATTCATAAAGTTTAATGACTCAAAATACTAATGAATAGTAAGAAAGGTTGGCATCCAAATTATCATCATCAAGTGTAATTGCTAAAGAAGAAATTAATGAGAAATCGGAAACTATAAATTATAAATTAATCAGTTAAACATAATAGAAGGAAATTTGTACAGGGATTGCAATTAATAGAGATGGCTCTCTTATAGCTGCATCATGCAATAATGATATCAAAATATGGAAATTTAAAGATGGAATTTTGATTGATTAAAAAATACTACTAAAAGGGCATGAGAGCGTTGTTTTTTGTATAATATTCAGTAAGAAAATCGATTTTTTTGTATCAGGAGGAATGGACAATTCAATTAGATGTTGGATTGATAGAAATAAAAAATCATGGTTTAGTTCTCATAGTTGGGAGGGTTCAAAAGCATTTACATAGCACTCTAATTCAATCTTATGTCTGCTATTGAATGAAAAGGAAGATGAACTTTTATCTTCGAGTAGCGATCATTCAATTAAAATTTGGAACGTTAAGAGTGGAGATAACATAATTGAGTATAAATATTCTCTAAACAAACACACAAATCAAGTATTTTAGATATCTTTGAATTCAACTGATACTGAGATGGTATCTTGCAGTGAAGATAGATGTATAATAATCTGGAGTAAAAATGGGAACAATCAATGGGAGTTCAAATATATTATTAATCAAGATGTAGATGAATATGGACTGAGAATTAATTATTGTTCTGATGATACGATTATATGGTGCTAAAATTCAAAACCAATTGCTCAGGTTTTTAGATTAGAGAATGGAATTTTCTAGCATAAGCCTGACTTAAGTATTAAATTAAAGCCCTTTGTTGATTCAGAATTTGGAAGCGACTATTGTTTCTTCCCTTCAAAATATAATTCTACAACACAAACTTTAATTCTTAAATAAAATAAGTATATTTATAGAATTAAAAAATCAAAGAATGATTCATTTTATATAGATGGCGATGTGATTGTAAATAACGCAGCAAGTTGCTATGGAACGATTTAAGATGATCAGAAATATATAGTCATTTGGAATAAAGAATCTTCCTAAATGCAAGTTTATAAAGCCAACTATGAATGAATTAGATTTAAAATATAAATACATATATATTGACATTAGGTTGAAAAACCCAATAATTTTTCTCTTAAAATTGTTAATTTTAGCCTTACCTTTTCTTATAAAAGCACGATATATAAGTTTAATAATTTCAATATACGTTCTAATATTTAATCTCAAGATATATATTTTAGCCAATGCTTTGAAATATGATTTTATTAATAAAAAATAGAGTTAAATAGTAATATGAATGATCATTTTAAAACAACTTTCAAAAGTTAACTATTAATTTTATTGAGTCATAAAGGCTATCCAACATTAATATGCAACAATTATTTATAATTGATATCACTTATCTTTATTTAAGAATATTTGAGTATAATATATACATTTGGATTATCTTTTTTCTTTTAATATAATAATATTTTCATTAATATGGGAAATGAATCATCAAAAAATGAAACATAGGATTCTTCTGAATTACTCTTAAGTATATTTTCTAATCACATCAGGCCAACATACAAAGACGATTGAGTCATCTTAGGTTGAAAATTCTAACATATTTGTTTATGAAAACAAAATAAAATATTGTTTTCTTTCATGTAATTGTTTTGGTTTGATAAAAACTCAAATAGTTGAGATATAACTTTCTTGGATTAATTATACCTTAAGAAAATTAAATAGAAGTCAATATAAACATTAAGCATGGTCAGATCTTATAAAATAAAGATTGCATAATATAGATTTAAATAATTTTGAAGATCAACAAGCAATTTATTTAAACAACGTAAGAATGATTATAAGTAATTACGAAACAAATCCTTTGATTTATAAAAACAAAATTTCAAATCAATTTGAAGATACAGAAATTTCGAAAATTAACATTTTTGAGTATTATGAGGAAGAAGTCAATACTATTTTTGAAGATAGAAAAAAATCGGGTATAATTGAAAAAAAATTCTTTAGAGAAGTTATGGGAGCTATTAATTAATAAATTAAAGTAACTGGGCATCCTTGTGGATTGATCTTACAAACATTTTAAAATTATATCATAAATTATACTGGACCTTAAGTTTGGTTTAGAGATTCATTCAAAAGAGATAAATATAAAGATCAATTAGTTAAAAGCACAGAACTTTGTGACGAAATAATTGAATTTCTTAAATTCTTTGTCAATTGCATAGAGAGTTATTATATGATTGATAAGTTTGTCTAATCAACTCATCTATTAAATTGTTTTACTAGCACAAATAACATAGCATTTGTAATTAACATACTGTTTTTGGATGAAAGAATATATCTCAAAATTTTGAAGAGTTTTTCTGAGCTCTATTCTTTTGAAAATTATCAATATTAATTGAGCTTGAAAATTTTAAAATAGAATACAATTACTGATTTTGATGTAAATTTGTAATTATAATTGAACTTTCAACCTTAAATGTCATATGAAATTTAATAAGATAATTTAAAAGGTAATCCATCAATCTAATATTCTGATTATGAAGATTTTAATTAGCCATATTAATCAGCAATCAACATGTTAAAATAATTGGAGCAGGTGCAATCACCAGCAAATTAATTGAAAATTATCTCTAAAACTTTTAAATAAATTAATTTTTGCATAAGTGATTATTATGAAAAACATCCTGAACTTGAAGCTTTAAAGAGCTATGGTACCGATGATATTGTTCCTATATTAACATATATCATCGTTAAATGCAACATACAAAACTTTGGCATAATTTTAAAAGTATTATATAATATTGAATCAGATTATCGAAGCCTTTACACCAAAATAAATTATGACTGGAATACTTGGATATTATTTAGTTACAACAATGGGATGTTATTAGAGAATTTCATAATTTGAAAAATCTTAGTAAATTAGACAAACCCTATAAAAGGCAAAATCTGAGATTGAAAGTGTGAATCTCAATTAATTTTAAACAAAAGTTCTTAGTTCTGATTAACTGAAATCTGACATTATTAAGGCTTAAGTTATTTATAAATGAAATTAACAGTATCAAAAAAATATTATTTAATCAATTACGCCGTTATTGTGTTCAACCATACTGTGTCTTTACTTGAATGTTATTGCAGAATGAATCTATTAGTTCTAAAAACAGTTAAGCAATCTTCCAATATCATAAAGTTGTTTTAAGGGGTAATAAATCAACAATTAAGAAGAGAAGAAAATTAAAATTTTTATCAAACTAATTATAATTTATTATTATTAATGGGTTGTTGTAAGTACTTTCCAAATAGTTGTTGCTCTTCAAAAACTTTCGAAAATCCATCTTATTAAGTGATTCCAAAAGAAACTTCAGAATAGTTCTAAAATGAATTCATACAAAGTATTATAAATCTTAATGTGAATGGTTATATTGAAAGAGAATAGGAAATAAGTTTACCAATAAAGAATTCATCAAATACGAAAGATATTACTGATGTTGAAATTAAATAAGAATATATGAAGACTAGTTCTAAATAATGGAACATTAAACAAACTATGTTTGTAAGAGTCAATTCTAAAAAAAACATTAATGATTCCTATTTAATAAAGGAAATGATTGGATAAGGAGGATTTGGTAAAGTCTATAAAGTCGTTCATAAATAAACTGGTAAGTAGCATCAAGACTTCTAAATTAGGAATGATAAGGGCTGTGAAAATGATATTGAAGGAGAAGATGAAGCAAGAGGATGAAGAACGGTTATTGGAGGAGACTGCTATTTTAATGGATATAGATCATCCAAATATAGTTAAATTATATGAGATATTTTCCGATAAATATAGTTATTATTTGGTTAATGAATATTGTGAAGGTGGAGAGTTATTTGAAAAAATTAAACTTGTTTCGATATTAACAGAAAAAGAGATTGCCAATTTTATGAAATAAATACTTTCAGCCGTTTCCTATTGTCATTAAAAAGGAATTGTTCATAGAGATTTAAAACCAGAAAACATACTGTTTGATTAAAAGCATAGCCAAGCTTCAATTAAAATTATTGATTTTGGTGCTAGTGCTAAGCTATAGAATTGTGAGAAACTGCAAAAACGAATTGGAACAGTATTTCAATTTTATTTTTTAGCCTTTCTATGTTGCCCCTGAGGTGCTTGAAGCCAACTATGACGAAAAATGTGACATTTGGTCACTTGGAGTAATTTTATATATACTGTTGAGTGGGTATCCTCCTTTTATGGGAGCAAATGAATAAGAGGTTTTGATAAAAGTCAAAAAAGGGGAATATTCATTTGATCCAACCGATTGGGGCAAAGTCACAAATTCTGGAAAAGATTTAATAAGGAGAATGCTTATGTATAACCCTGCAAATAGGATTTCAGCTGCTGATGCCTTAAATCATGAATGGATCAAAAATAATAAATCAAAAGGATAAATCAACAGTTTGACTCTAAGTAAATTATAAGATTTTGATTCAAAAAATAAATTAAAATATGCAATCTTTTAATTTATCACTGTTCAAGTAGTTACAAACTAAGAAAAAACTGATTTGCTCAAGATATTTCAAGAAATAGATAAAAATGGGGATGGGACTGTCAGTAAGGACGAACTGTATTAGGGTATTTAAAATACTAAATCATAGCCTATTTAAAGATTCATAAAGGAGATAAATTAGCAGCTGAGACTATTGTAGAAGAATTATTTCCCCAATTGGATGCAAATGGTTCTGGGATAGTAGATTTTAGTGAGTTTATTACAGCAACAATAAACAAAGAAAAGTCACTCAGTAGATAAAGAATTGAATAATCTTTCAAATTGTTTGATTTGGATTAAAATGGGTTGATTACAAAACAAGAATTAAACGAATTATTCGATGAAGAAATAGATGAATAAATGTGGTAAGAAATCTTAGATTAATGTGATACTGATAATGATGGAATGGTATAATAAATCATATAAATAGATAAATCTTAACGAATTTATCAATTTGCTGGAGAATAAAATATCAAAAAATCCAATATTTTTAAAATGAACTAATTTGATAATTTGCAATTAATGTATATATATTGCATTGATTAAATAAATATAATTATAAACATCCGTTGCAAGTTTAAATATGTTAATTGAATAATCAATTAGGGATTTCAAACATATGTAAGAAATGTATTGTCATCATGTTTTTAGGCCACTTTTTGTTTTGGTTTTATATCTAAGGTTTTTTATTTCATAATTCTCTGGTCGTCCTAGTCTAGTTTAGTGGCAATTTCAAAGGATCGTTTCATCTGAATATAATGATATTCTACTTATTTCAAATCTCTTTGATAAGAACAATAAATAATTTTTCTCTATTTATCGAAATATTGTTGTTCTTTTTTTTTAATAATAGGACAAGGTTCTGTTAGTTTTTTATGGTTTTCAATTTTTGGTAAGGCCAAACTTTTAGTTCTGGAATTTCTCCTTTAAAACTCTTAAAACTGCATTTCTTGAAAGTAAAATTCTCTTTCAGCTGACAAACCTACTCATATGAATGTCTAACCATTTTTATTGTTAAAGTCTCTCTTTCCATTTCAAATTGTAATCACCTGCCTATTTGGCCTTGCTTGCTAATTGTTTTTATTTTTAAAGAGCGTATTTTTCCATTCTTTCCGTTAATTAATCATACAAATATTCTAAGTTAGATTCTTGCTGATAATAAAGTTCTTAATATCTAGAGCGTGCATTTTAAACTTATTCATTACTTGTTTTCATTTTACGTTCTAAATAAGAAATAACTTTGATACTCATGGAAACTTTTTTTTCCTCATTAATTGGAATAATAAAAGCTAATTCAGTGTTACATACAATGGGACGCATTTTTATAATCTGCAGTTTAAGATGTGGAGATTATTTCATAAATTTATTATAAAATTTGTAATTATTTTAATGAAAGAGGTAGATATAAATATACTATTAATTCATAACACCAAACTCAAAGTTTCAAATTCTTCAAAAGCCATATGATTTTGGTTTTTGTTTTTTTTGGACTGGTGAACATAACTCTAAATAGATATGAAGTAGTTTTTAGTTTACCTTTTCTTATCATACTAATTGTTTGTCTAATCAACTGTCTAAACTCATAGATCAAATAAAGGACAAATGTTCATCTAGGGATGTGTATCAAAACAAGCCAAACAAAGAAAATCAAAGTATTCGTAAACTCATTCAAGTATGAATTTTGCTTCATATTTTAAGCATTCTTTTTATTCAAAAATAAAATTGACTTATTACATTAAAAAAATGCTTGGGTTATGATAAAAGAATTAATCATATATAATATTATCAATTTTTTTTAATTCCTTTTCTTCTTTCTTCGTCTTCTTACTATTTAATCCTTTGATGTATAAAGTAATGACATTTTTTATATTTCTTGCCTGAATTGCAAAAGCATTGTTTATTTCCCAACTTGCCTAATTTTGCCATCATCTATTCCATAGACAGTCCTTCAAAATCTTTGGAGATTTTTTCATCATCATCATCACTATAATCATCCTTCTTCTTTTTGACTCCACCCATATTATACATATTGGCCACATCATCTTCAGTCATCTATCCCATCAACTTTTTGTACCCTTTATTAAATATGCTGTATGCACTCAAAGTGCCTTTTTCTCTTGTGCCTAAATTTGTAAAAATCAATGCGAATCCCGTTAGGATTACATATAACCCTTGCATCGAATAAAGAATTGAGATCTTTAAGATGATAGTATTATTATTACTCTGCCACCAATCAACCAAATTATACTATATACAAAGTATTTAAGAAAGCTCCATTGACCATAGGTGCGAAATAAGTGTTTATAGTATTTTGAACGATCTTAAAATTCAGATGAATCTACAAGTTCAACTTTGTACATATAATATAATAATCAAATATTGCTAAATTTGAGTATTCGACTGATAGTATCCTTTAGTTCTGCTTCATCCTTCGTTTAGAAATACAATTCAAACGCCCCTTTAAGGATGGGTTCGTCTTGATTAATATTTCTTAATAAGTAGGTCAACTATTGATTGTAAATAAATGTTTACATCAGTTTTTGATCTTCCCAATTCAATTAGATTTGCTTTCAGTATGCTTTTCACATTAGATTTCAAAATATAATTGTATATTAGTTAGATATTTTCTACTAAATCCTACTTATCTAGATTATAATCATAGACTTCCAATGAAGACTTTATCATAATATTGTCCTTGTCAATTGCATCCATCAACAGATCTATTTATTTGACTTTGCTCTTTAAGAATTTTGCACAGATATCTTTTATCAAATCCTTATGCTGATTGTTTTAATCGATCTTTTTCATGTAAGGGTCCATTGATTAATTGTCTTTTTGCTTTTCAATTTGACTATTTGCAAAATCTGATAACTTCTAAATGAATATCCTCTAATCTCTCTATCTTAGGAAATCCCTAAAGAGTTTCAATAGAGTATTATCACTTGATATCATGTTCTAAAAATATAATTTGATGTTTTACTTATTCCAATGCCAATCTTTGTTCCTAATTCAAACATCTTCTGTATGCAAACAAAATATTCAATTATTGTTCTATCAAACTATCAAATTGCTCAATTTCATTAAAGTCAAATCTAGAAGAGGACGAATATACCTTAAATATAAGATTTAGAGTATTTAAAAACTCGTCTTATTCTTTTGTTTCACAATACACTTCGTAAGCTGCCATAACAGACATATCTTCAATCGAATATAAATAATAAAATGCCTTTGCTTACCTTAAAGTGATAACTTTATCAATTTCGTATAAAAAATTTATTATAAATTTGAAATTTTAATATTTATGCATTTTTGGTTCGATGACAGCTCCATGAGTAGGTGAAGGAATATCATCAATTTTTTTATTCTGTAAAGTCAATAAATCATTGATATCTGATTTAATGCAATCAATATCATATCTTTATCCATATTTATCTAATATTTCAAGCAACCTTTAGTTCTAAGCTGTATAGTAACCATGTAATTTAGCTTTTTCATGTTCATCACAGAATTTGCTGCATTGATCGTAAACAGTCATAAACAGTTTTTCATAATCTTCATTACTGTATTTTTGTAATACTTTAACATGATATTTATCAATGAAGTTTATTTCTTTCTTACTCTCCAATATTATCGAATCAACACTCAATTTCCGTTCCTCCTATTAATTAACTTATGGTAAATTCAAATGGAAATGAAAATGTTCATCATGACTATCCTTACGCCGTTTATGCATCAAATAATAGGAATAACTATTTTCTTCTCTCAATTGTTATTCTAATTGCCCTACATTCTCCTTGAGAATTGAAAATAGATCTTATAATTAACCATTTTATCCAAATCTTTGAAATCCTTCATAAATAGGGTTTTATTTATTGGCATTTTCTGAAAGAAAATACTCCACTTAATGAGAATTAAAATTTTTAGTAATTTCTTGCTGAAATTGACTCTGCAAATACTGTCTTATTATTTAGAGTAGGATCTTGAGAAATAGAATATTATAGTACATCTTGAGGGTAATCCATTAGACTTTTGACTAAATCATCCAAATCACTGTCCATTCTCAGTTCTCTCAACATTCCAGACTCAATTGAATTTAAATCACCTGAATTAAGTAATTAATCCATTATTGTTACGGACGACCTCAAACCTGGAGTTGGATTGCAATCATAAGGGAAATTTACTGATTAATGTAGATCACTCCTACTAGGACTGGTTATGAATTTGAGGTTGTTTTAACTATTAAATACAATATTTCAATTTTACAATGAAAGATTGTTGTTGTCATCTTGGGGCAACAGTAACTTCAGATTTCTAATGAAGTTTTCATCATCCTGCTATTTTTAATACAGTTGATACTCAGCAAAGACGGATTGATCTTAACCGATAATCAATCCTAAGAGGTATTCATATTCTCTGGATTCGAATCGATTTCTAAATTTGTCTACAGCCTTTTTGACCCTCATTACACTTATTAACACAAATTATACCCATGAGTTCTTTTGCCTTAACTAGAATGAAAGTTGTCATTCGCCTCCACCTATAAAATCTATTTCTCATTTCCCCTAGTTACAATCAAGGGGATATTATTGTTTGCATTGCTATTGGGAGTAGCAAAACTACCCTGCAATATAGGTTCTGGCTCTTCTTCTTCACATAGCAATTATTCAATCTGATAACACACATCTTCAGCAATTGAGTGATTAATTTTCATTTCCATTTCGTGTTTAAGATTTTAATTTTCAAAAACCGTTAATAACAATGAATCAGATTCCTCCTCTTAGATTATTGTGTAATAGGCTTAGAGAAATGCAAATGTTTTATAGATTCTCATTACTATCGGTTGGCCAAAGATGCCAGCCTAATATTCATTGTCAAATACCAACACAATGGTTAAAACTGGATGTTGAGGACTAGATGACTCTTCATATGTACCTAAATCTAATTTGTTGGATTTCTTATAAGAATGCTCCGAAATCAACATAATAAGAGGGTTCCTCGGTTGTTTGCACTCTCGAATTCTTACTTTTATGCGACTTCCTACTATTCCTTTCAGGTTTTCTCTATTCTGTCAGTATGACGTAGAATTTATCTTTGTGAGCGTGCAGATTGTGGCAGAAATATTGCAATTCACAAATATTTCCTATTATATTATTGCATTTACCTTACGCATCTTATAATGCTGTTATGGTCTTGTCAACCTAAAAGGCAGATCGAATCAAACGACAAAAGGATGCAACATCCAAATTTGAAACAAAGAACGATTTTTGCTCTCCATCCAAAGAAAATATAAAGTTATGCTTTCCCTGCATTAATAATTTTATTCGATAAAAATAATATTGTTAGTAATATTAAAAATAAATTATCACACAAAACTATTTTCAAATTCTCAATAAAATAATTTCTGTCTATTAACTCTTGATATATATATATTATTATAAATATAAATGTAATAAAAAGCAAAATAATTCTTTGCCACCTATGGTAAATTGGGTATAACCGTTTACTTTTCCATCTGTTTAGCCAATTATGGGATTGTTTACTTCGCATTGAGATAGGGAGTTGATGTGAAATAAATTGGATCAAAGTAGCATTTTTCATTTTACATTAGGTTAGGATTTGATACCACTCAAGGAAAGTGGGAAAAGATTGAAACATATGGTACACCAACAGCAGCGTACATTATATATAAACTCATGGCCCCAATCAAATGGCCGATAGTCATAGGAACAACTGCCTTTTTATGTAGGAAAGGAAGAAAATGAAAGATTATTATATAAATTGCAAAGAATTTTGAATATAAAATTGTCAATGAATCCATAATATCAATATGACATTTTCGTTATAGGTGGAGGTTCTGGTGGTCTAACAGTGGTTGATGAGGCCTAAAGGTTAGGCAAACGAGTTGGATTAGCTGATTATATCAAACCAAGTCCACATGGAACGCAATGGGGAACAGGAGGCACATGTCCTAATGTGGGATGCATCCCTAAAAAGTTAATGCATATGACAGCATTGATAGGAGAAATAAGACATGAGTTGGCAGCAACTGGATGGCAAGGAGTGGATCCTCATTCAAAGCATAATTGGAATACTTTGGTGAATGAAGTTTAAAGATAAGTAAAAGGAATCAATAAAGCCAATGATGATTGGTTGGTCACAACTAATGGAATTACCTATTATAATAAATTAGGTAATCCTCTATATATATAATAGGTAAGTTAAAAGATGATCACACAATTGAACTCATTGATAAGGATGGATAATCTGAGTTTGTTACTGCAGAGTACATTGTAATTGCAGTTGGATCAAGACCTTCATTTCCTACTGACATCCCCAATGTTAAATAATTGACCATTACTTCAGATGATTTATTTTCTTTAAGTATTAAGCTTTAAATAAATCTTTTAGAGAATGCACCAGGGAAAACATTAGTTGTTGGAGCATCTTATGTGGCATTAGAATGTGCTGGATTTCTAACTGGTTTAGGTTATGATGTCACTGTAATGGTGAGAAGTATTCTTTTAAGAGGATTCGATTAAGAAGTCGCTGAAAGAATTGGTGAATTCATGAAAATATCAGGAACCAAATTCATTAGAGGAACCATTCCAAGTTCAATAGAGGATGTAGATGGTAAGAGATTAGTGAAATGGGTATTGAATGGCTAAGAATAAAGTGAAGTTTTTGATACAGTGTTGCTTGCAATAGGAAGAAGTGCAGACACATAAAATCTAGGATTAGAATAAGTGGGTGTGTAAACCAATAAAGAATCTGGTAAGATTATAGCAAATGATGCTGATTCAACATCTGTTTCAAATATTTTTGCCATTGGAGATTGTGTATAAGGAAGATTAGAACTAACACCAACAGCCATAATGTGTGGTAAACGCTTAATAAAAAGGTTGTATTAAAATGGAAATCAGATCATGGAATATTCAGATGTTTCAACAACTGTCTTTACACCTTTAGAATACGGGTGCGTTGGATATTCAGAGGAGGCTGCAACAAAGAAATTTGGAAAGGAGAATCTTAAAATCTTCACATCAGAATTCACTCCTCTGTTTTGGAATTTTGCCAACAGAAAGGGTACATGTTATGCTAAGTTAATTGTGAAAAAGGATGATGATGTTGTTATTGGATTCCATTATTTGGGACCAGATGCAGCTGAAGTGACATAAGGTTTCGGTGTTGTGATCAAGTTAAAGGCAAAGAAGAGTGATCTTGATAATGTTGTGGGAATACATCCATCAGTTGCTGAAGAATTGGTTTAGATGTAAACATGGAAATGAAAAAATAATCAAATAATTATTAAACATCAAAATCTTTTTTTAAAAAAATATATATATATAGAAAATATCAAATATCACTACATCAATTTTACTTATTTTCCTGATGCTCTCAAAAATCCCAACATACCTTAGCTCTGTAATATTGATTTTTAATATTCTAATTGATGTTGTTAACTTTCTTCATCATCAATTACGATTTGCAAAAAACTAACTGGATTTCTTCTCTTGGATTTAATTTGATGTTATATCTTTTTTTTCTCCTAGGATTTCTTCTCTTCTATTAAACTAACGTCCTAATAACTAATAACTCTTTAACCACAATTATTTGCAACTTCTTAAATCTATTGTTGCTTTTACTTAAATAATTCATATAATGCATATCAAAACATAATTTACATAATCATTCATAACTTTTTCTAAGAATAATATCATATCTGTTAATTTATCTATAATTTCATCACACAATTCAATTTTTCTCTATCTTCATTTCTAACCATTTTCATCTTAATTATCCTACATCTCAGTTGCCATAGAAATTAGTTTACTGAATTTCTAATCATAAATACTAACTCATACACTCTTGAATTTTGATAATTTACTTCCAGTCATGATTTGAATAAATGCATGAGTATTCTTATGTGCTTTTCTTTCCTTATTATGCACTAAAAGTTGAGGAATTTCACCTTATCCCCACCCAAATGGATCCTCATCATCTTTATCCTCCTCTTAACTTGCTTATTCTTACACAATCTCTTTTCCTTCTTCTACCTTATCTGTCTAAACATCTTCGACTTAAGAAGCTTAATCAATAGATTAATCATTATAGTTTTTTATTGCTCCTATTGAAGTTCTAAGAATCAAATTCATATTTCACCTTAGTCGAGACTCTCTATAAATTCTCTTGCCTAAATAATCTTCTCTTTTGCCTGTGATAAAACGCTGTGATCTTCTTACATTTCGACCTTACCTTCTTCCAAAATTGTTATCCAAGTAAAAACTCTTTCATTATTGTTTTCAATACGCCTCATAAGTATTTGTATATTCATCATCCGTGTTACAATTAGGAGACCCTATAGATGCTGGATCAAAATTGACAGCTTATTAGAAGGATTCAAATTTTATTCCTTTTATAACAACCAAGCTCAATAAAAAATAAACAATTTTCATTTATAAAATTAATTCGTTTTTTATAACTGCATTCTCATAATAAAACATCAAATCAATAATATTTGTACAATATATTAGTGGATCCTTATTAGCCTTAGGCAAATTTTCAATTGCTGCTTACAAATCAATATTGTCATAAAAAACTAGCCTATAATAATAAGTATATTTTATATTATTTAAAATTGTTAAAAAACACTTAGATTACCCTTTAATTGGTAAAAATCCTATTACATCTGAAATTTTAAAAACAACGCCTGCTCTTTCATTATAATAATGATGGATAGTTTGCAGCAAAGGCTTTGAAGTTGTAATTCATATGTAAAGATAAATTAAAATATAGAAATGGAAAATAATTGAAAAATTTCATTTATGTTATTCAAAATAAAAATAAAAAAATATGTAAACTACAATTTTTGCAGAAATTACTTGTTCCTGTACAACCTGAAGGAACTCTATTATAATGAAAAAAGTACTCGAATTAGGAATTATCATAATGTATTTTAAATCAGATTATAATTTCTATATCGTTCATTAAGTGTTATTATAAAACATAATCATTCAAGTTTATTTTTATAATAATTAATCGGCAAGCATTTTTATGAATGACTTACTTAATGAGCAACCTATATCCAACTCAAAAATTTGAAAAGAAGTCCATGCCGATACTCAATAATATTGCATAGAAAATGAGATTAAGTAAATCATCATAAATCATACTTGATATTTAAAATTTTCTATTATATAATTATTATTATTGTGCTTAAAAGAAAAAGGTGATTGGGCAACAAAAAAACAATAATAATTTATTAATAAAATTATATATCGAATGAAAAGATACAGCAAATATTATTATAATTTACATGTGATATAGTTCTTTGTTGAATCAATGTAAGATGGATTGATTTTTTGGTTTTCTGATTTGGAAATGAAATAATTATGGTTTTTAATAATGAAATGTTGAGGAATAGGAGATGAAATTCAAAAAGGTGATGGATGGGGAATATTATAAAATGATTTAAAATCTAATTAAAAAAGTATGAATGATAATCAATGTTGCATCATTAGATTATGAATTAATGATAAAGGCAGTCCATCAAATGTAAATAGTGCGTATTAAAATGATAAATTTCTAAATTATTAAACCAGAATTCAATCGTCTTATTAATTAATTATTATATAATCAGGATGTCTGAATCTATATACAAAGTTCGCACTTAGAAATATTTGAAACCCATCTTAGAGACCTAGATAATTGGTATATCTAGAGTAATTCTGGGATTGCCAATCGATCATGTGTTTGATAGATTCAAGACTCTACTTCAAGCTGAGAGCACCCAATCATCGATGAAATAATTGTTCAAAGATACTTATCGAAGGAACGGAGTTCTTAAAGGAGTATTTGCTGGTTTCTCATCCCAAATCAGTATTCAATTGTTTAAACAATACTACAGGTAAATTTGAAAAATGAACCCAATAGATGGCCAATGATGATATTGATACCCAAATACTACAAAGAACTTTTACCAAGTTCTTGGGTAGAGAATCACCCAGCATTACACAAAGGATTGGCAGGTGCAACAATTGCCTTGTTTGAGTCGTTTGTGACTTGTCCTTTAGAAAGAATTAAGTGTTAATTGATGACTCAACATTAATCAAAATCAAGTATCTTTTAATTAATATATCATTAGTACTTAAATAGTTATGGAGAAATGAGAGGTCATTGTCGCACTTTGTAAGAAATTTGTACACCGGCATGGAGGCTATGGTTTTGAAGTAGGTAGTATCCTGGACGAATTACCTCTATTGGGATCACAAAATTAGATACTTCTTTAAGGAGAATCCCAGTTAGGCACTCACTTTACCTTAAATTGCGATGTGCAGTTTATTGACTGCAGTTCCAAACATCCTTTTGGTTTAACCATTTGATGCTGTTAAGACTGCTTATCAAATGGAACAAAATGGAAATTACAAATAACTAACCATCCCACAAGCCTTTGTGAAGGTTTACAAAGACAAAGGTTTGATTGGGTACTACGCTGGTTGGTAGCTAAGGTTGTCTTAATTCATAGTTCAAGCAGCCTTAAGTACTCCAGTAATGGATTATTTGGAAAGATTACATGGTCTTCCAAATGAACTCTGAAATTCATAGTTAATACTATCAACTGAATATTTTTGATAATAATTAAATATTTATATATTATCATTATAATTAATCATTCGATCTTCTAGTTTCCACTATGGAACCAGTCAATTGTCTCTAAACTTATGCTTGTGTGCCTGATAATCTTACTCCAACTTAATTTTTAGAATCAAAATGCTATGAGATTGGATGATGAATATCCTACTTTGAGGAATAAGGAGACTATAAGTGATTTTCTTATTCCAACTAATAGGTCAATAAGGCTTCCTATTATCCAGTCAATTACTTGGTCAATTCTTAATCTCTAAGAAGTTGTGATTATCTTGGTTATTGTTGATATTTTGAGTGATTTTGATATTATTAAGAATATTATTCTTGTTAATATTTTGATTGATTTTGATACTATTGAGAATATTAATACGATTTAGTTTAATCAGTATTAATGGACTCAATTAATTATTATTATTATTTATTTGTAGTTTCATTGTATGTTATTGGTCTTGATTCTATAACTTATAAATTTGTAGGATGCAATTATTCTACTACATTTTGTTTAGGTTTATCTTCAATTTCTTGCTAGTTGTATTGATATTGTTCATGTTCCTGTATCTAAAATTGATTAATTTCGTGTTTTGGATAGTAGTTCTGTTAATTTTAGTAATTTGATTATTGATTTATATTATCTTGTTTGCAATCACTCAATTGCAATTAGAGTTCTTATTAGGTGATTGGTGTTAGATTGTTGTATAATTAGCAACTTCTGGTTTGGTCCAATTGTTTGCTTGGTGTTTTTTGACACTTATTTTAAGCATCCTAACTTCTTTGAAGTGCAATTTTAGTTCTTTATTCCAGTAGTTCTAATTGTTCATAAATATCAGTAGTGTCTACAACTCTGCTAACCACTTATTACTCAAATTTTTGATTACTAATTTGCTATCTAAAATCAATAGAATAATTAGGTAAGTTTTCTTAAATAGTTGATTACTTAATAGGATGAACAAAATACTCTGAAATAATCTTCAAGTTGAAATCTGTAACCAATCAACAGATCATTGGCCTGTCTTGAATTAGGTCTATTTTCAGGAGCTAATTATAATAATTAACACACTATAGAACACAATTGTTCACTATAGAGTGTTTTCATCTCCCTAATGTAAGCATCTAATTTCTCTGTGCTCAATAGATAATGAGTATAATCATAAATATCGTTAATATTTTTGAGTATTGCCATCTACAGGGCAGTCAAACCAATACTGAATACATCAGATTTGTTAAGATCATAAGTGGGTCGAAGCACTTTTTATTTGAGAAATTGCAATTATTCGGGACTTAAATTATAGTTCCCCAATTATTTAGTAACACATCTTTTGAAGGCATTTAAGTCTGTTAGTTATTGAATATCGGTTAACTTATAAATTGGGTATGGTTCATTTTATCGGATTGGGCAGTTTTTAGGAAATGATGTGACACTTATGGTAAGTGGTCTAATGTCTCCATGAGATTTCTGTTGAATACTCAATTTTTAAATGGCTACCAACTAGAATGAAATGAATAAAGACAATACAGTACAATGAAGCATGGCTGCTATTTCTATTTCTTCAAAATGTTGTTTAGATGCAGCTTGTTCTACAATGAGTCTTTCCAAATATTCATCAAAATACTCATATACACTATGTGCTTAAGTCATTTGAGTGCATAGTTCTTTTTCTGTGATAAATTATAAATCCAGCATTTCAATTAAGAATAGATCTTTCTATCTGGATTACATTTGTAATTCTGCTTGTTCTCGAAAGTGATGCCATTATTCCTCGTCTTGAAAGATGTGATCTTTTACAGCCACTGCATGACCATCATTTAATTTGTAGACTTTGATTTCGCCATAACGAATATCATTCACTGATTTCCAAAACTATAATTAGTTGATTTTTGGAACACTCATACGTGATTGTTCTAGATTTTGGGATTACGATTAACCCATTCTTTTAAATTATTAATTAATTTAATACAAAAATCTATTATCAAATCTAATTAGTTATTATGATCAAAGGTATCACTCGATTGCTTTGTTACAATTTCACTTACTAATTGCTCATTTGTGTAAATTAAAATTCAGAACAAGTTTCAAATTGAATCAAATAGGAGTCTTGGCTACCTTTGAATTCCTTCAAGGCCACGTCGATATTTGTGTAGAACACTAGATTCTTACTAAATTCTGTGTAAGATTTGCCTATCAAATCTATATAGTAAATTTTGATTGCATTTTTGCCTCTGGCCATTTCAAGATAGTATTTTTTGTATTCTTCATTCACGATTGCCTACCTCAAAGAGACATCCAATATACATTATCCTAATTCTATTTTATTGCCCATAGTTGAATCAAAGATAATCACATCATCCCTATTTTCGATCTCATATTCTGATTAACATAAATAAGACTTTTTGAATAGTTATTTGAATTCTTGATCTCCAATGAATGTACTCCCAAATTATTGGTAAACTTTGTTCTTTTGAGAGATCATACTATTTATATTAGAATTCTCAATCAAATTGATTAATGTGGAATCCTAAGAAGATGTATGATCCAATCTCAAAGAATTCTCTTTAGTATCCAATTGATCTTGGTACTTCTGCATGTCCTTCTTCTCATTAATCTACCCTCTCTGAGTTTTCTTTCTTTCTTTATAGGATCTTCTCATCTAGTGTAATTTAGTGTCACTTTCTCCCTATCTCTGAATTATTTTGACTTCAATATCCTTCTTGAAAATGCTTTTCAAAATATCAAGTTACCCCATAAACAATCCAAATTCAGACTCTTTAAACTTAAATGAGAAGTGTATAAGCTCATCTTTCAGTTTGAGATATTGCATGAACATCCAAATACTGTCCAACCTATCTAGTATTATGTAATTATCAGGTTCAGAAACTAGGTCCTCCCTCTTTGAATTTTGGTATTATGAACCTACATTTTTACTCTCAGAGTGTTCGATCTAGGCGATTTCATATTGGAGATCGGAAGGTCGGCAGTCAAATAAGTGGGAGAGTGTTTTACTAACTTCCATGAATCTTTCAAACTCATTCAGGACTCTGACTTCTGCGAATTTGACACAGAGCTAAGAGAATGGGCTCTTCTTCATTTCAATATATTTGATCAGTTGTCTCTGGGCCAGGAGAGAAGAATTAATGTAATTTTGCATTTAGTATAAATTAATTATTTTAGTAAAATTTTTAATCTAATTAATCAATCTATAATTCTATATATAGGCATTAACATATCGCTAGGGCTAATATTACACAATGTTATCGGAATTGTGTCAATGATTGACATTCAAACAATAATATTAATCGCGTAATTATTGAATTAATTAGTATTATCATAATGCGTAATTGCTTAATATAGATATCAAATTATTTAAATATTTATTTTACGGTCCATGAGTGTGTCAAAAGTTCAAAAGGTATTATCATATCATTTCTATGACAGTTATTCTTCCGATTTTCCTATTACAAAAATCTAGACCTCACTAGTCCATATCCGTCATTCCAAGTAATTCTCAAAATCCTAATTTCAAGGCCAGAGATATGACCACCACTCACACCATGCATTACATAACTAAACCACCTTGCGATCCTAAAATAATGACTTTCGGAGCATTTCACACTGATCATATGTTAGAAATCGACTGGACTGAAAAAATGGGGTAATTAAATCAATAATATGGCTAGTTGGTCACGTCCATAAATTATTCCTTTCAAAAGTTTCTCCATTCATCCATTTGCTGCTTGTTTACATTATGCCATTGAATGTTTTGAAGGAGCTAAAGTATTTACAAATAAGATTATTATTAGGCATACAAAGGACCAAACAAAACTATCAGAACCTTTAGATTAGATTGTAACATGTACAGAATGAAACAATCAGCAAAGAGACTCTCATTACCTGACTTTGATGGAGCTGAATTATAAAAATGCATTGAAGGTTTATTGAAAGTAGATCAGGATTGGATTCCTGACAGACCAGGATTTAGTTGCTACATCAGACCAACAATCATAGCAACAGAAGAAGCTTTAGGTGTCAGAGCATCAAGCAGAGCAAAATTGTTTGTTGTTTTATGTCCCGTTGGTCCATATTTTCCATCCGGACTCAAACCAGTCAGAGTATTCTGTAACACAACAACAGTAACAATTTAATTGTATAATATAGATTCGTTCAGCTCCAGGAGGTGTTGGAGGATATAAAGTTGCAGGTAATTATGCACCCACCGTCATGCCTTTGAAAGAAGTCTAATAAATTGGATTCCATTAAAATTTGTGGATGTTACCAGATGGATTGGTTTAAGAGATGGGAGTTTGCAATTTGTTTTTCTTCTGGAAGAATAAGCAAGGAGAAAGAGAACTGGTTACACCTCAACTTGATGGCACCATATTGCCAGGAATTGTCAGAGACTCATTACTTGTATTATATTTAATTTATATTCAGGAATTAACCAGAGACATGAAATAATTCAAAGTTATTGAAAAGAAAGTGTACATCTAAGAAGTTATCGAAGCAATAAGTGAAGGAAGAGTAACATATGTATCTCTATATATCTAGATGATTGAAATGTTTGGATCAGGTACTGCTGTCAGTATTCAACCAATCGAAGCAATTGGATATAATGATAAAATCTATGAAGTTAAGTACGATCCTAAGTTAAATGCTGGTGAGTTGTCTCACTAATTATTTGATATGATCACTGAGATTCAGGTACTTCATTATTAATATTTCTATAGACTGGAAGCAAACCACATAAATGGATTAATGTTGTGTGAATTTATTTTATAAGTTTATTATTATTATAAGTAAAGAAATTCTTTCAATTATCCATTAATAAGATAAGCTTAATTAACGACTATCAAATAATCTGTTATATAAGATGTTAAGAGGAAACTTTTAACTTGAACTCTTGATAATTTGAAGAATTATTTATTTCAAAATAGAAAATAACCCTTATGTTAAATCTACGCAAAAAGCATTGTTAAATCTAATTGATTGTTTTTAATTAATAAATTACTTTGTTA